GAGATGGGCTACGACGCCCCAAAGCACTGGGTCCTATATCCCTTGAGGGGTGTTGTTAGGAGCTACTAGAGATGGTAACCTTGGTAAGGCAGATATAGATGAGGGAACTAGCCTGAAACACAAAGAAACTTTAAGGAAGGACTATGTGACCAGTGTATCATGCAACATAACTCCCTGCAAGCACGAGACCTGCAAGAAACAAGAATGAATAACGAGCTAAAGAAAGAAATTAAGAGATCAAAAGAAGTCTAAGGGCACATATTTAAGCATGGTGTGGCCATCCCCGCAAGGAGACAATTTCTTTTCTCTCTCTCTCTCTTTCTCTTTCCTGTTCCAGTGAGTGTACACACTCTATAGCAAGCGAAAGAAAGAAAGAAAGAAAGAAAGAAAGAAAGAAAGAAAGAAAGAAAGAAAGGAAGGAAGGAAGGAAGGAAGGAAGGAAGGAAGGAAGGAAGGAAAGATTCCAAAACGAAATAAAAGAAAGGAGACTCTGAAAGGAGCCAAGGCTGTTTGCCTCCCTTGGCAATCACACATTCAGTCTGCGGGGACTTATCGGTATCTCAGTAAACCTAGTGCTCAAATCAAGACAAATAAACAAAAACAGGTCATACCCACTGGAATTGGAGGAAAATCATAATCCTCCTCAATATTTAAGCAGCTACAAGAGAATAATGAGCTAGATAAAACCCACTATGTCCAACTTAAAGGTACATCAAAAATTCTGAGTAATTCTTTCAAATTGCTTAAGAGGTGTTTGGTGAATACTTTTCATTTTGACACAATATCAGACAAACTGAGATCAGAGAGACATTCTGAAATGAGGCTATGGACCCTCAAATACCCAAAATCTAAAAGACAAGAAAGTGGCTGGCCAAGAGACTAGGTTTAAATCAGTTGGAACCAAAACAATCCCTGGAATGACCACTCCCTAACCTTCAAGCACATTAAGCCCTCACTGTATGGATCAGCAGCAGGTAGGATGATGGCTGAGGTGCTGGCCAACCATGGTTTGAGTCCTGGACTTGGTGGCTTGAGAATCACACCAGGTGTGTGTACACACATGACCAAAATCCCAGGAAAAGAATGGAGGAGAAGGGACTAAGGTGTGGGATGATTTTTCACTTTCCCTCTGTCTCTTTCTGTCTCTCTCCAGGGAGCATAAATGACTTATCACTAAAACTGTAAAAAAAAAAAAAAAAAAAAAAAAAAAGAAAGAAAGAAAGAAAGAAAGGAACAAAACTCACTATATGGTATATGCTATATGCTATTATAGATTACACTCCCATCTGCATCATGACAGTTTGGAATAACCATTGCCATTACCTGATCTACCCTAATAAGGTCAGAAATGGGAGGAAAAGTGGTTTCTGAAAATCACCGCCCTTTTCCCAGACAAGTCATAAATAAAACATCTCTTAATGAGCCTGGCATTAAGTCAAGTCTTGTAAGTCAAACGCCACTGAAGGAGCTGCTCTGCCTTTGGGAAAGCCCTTCTCTTTCCTTCCAGGCAACATTTCTCCCTTCCTGCTCTAAAGGAATAAAACTTCACCATCTCTCCTCACATGGCTACACTTAAGGAGTAGACCACTCTGTACAGTTTCTTTAACAAATGTGTTTTCAAACTCTCTCAATGGCTTCTGTTAAATTCTTTCCTGTGGGCAGCCAAGGACCCTCACATTCCAAGTAGAGATCCCTAAGGGTTGAGTGTCCCTAGCGACAAAGTGATTAAATCCACCAGGAAAACATCTGTTAAAAGATTTAAAAGGATACATAGTTCAGGGACAGCCCTGACACAGTGGTTAAGGCAGCTGGATACCACATGGCCAACTGAGCAGCTCAAGTCCCAGATCCAGCAGCTTAAAAAAATACACCAGCACATGTGCATGGGCACCTAAAATCCCAAGAGGAGACTAGAGAAGGGACTGCAGTGTGGTCATCTCCTTGGGGGGTAATTTCTCACTCCACTTTCATGTTAACCAGTGACTAGACATTCTCAGAGCTAGATGAAGACCAGGTCCCCAACCCACTTCTCAAGCCCACTTTGCCAATGTCTCTCTAGCAGTGGAAGATGACAAGGACCACACCCACAATGAAAGAGTACCGGATCAGAGCTGACCATCAGCTGGAGCCATAGCAGTAGGAGAGGAGCCAGAAAGGGCAGCCAAGAGCATAGGGACTTAGGAGTACTGCCCATTGGACTCACAGACCAGAAGTCAAGTCAAGGATGGGTACCTCCAGGACCACACAAAAGTCTGCAGGAACCATCCCTGAAAGTCGGGAAAAGGGCAGAGAGGAACCTAGCACTGAAGAATCTTCCACCCATATACCACCATTCCCCTGGGAGCCAACTCAGTCTGAGAAAGGAAAAGGTAACCTGGAATCAAGACTGAAGTTTGGGTGGCCAGCAGGTGGCATCGTGGCTTGGACTTTCACATGACTGACTACAGCTCAAGTCCCGGACCTGGTGGCTTGAAAATCATGCCAGGCGTGTGTGTGTGTGTGTGTGTCCAAAATCCAGAGGGGAGAATGAAAGAAAAGGGACTGCAATGTAGCCATCCCCCTAGGGTGTGATTTCTCATTTACTTTCACTTTCTCTCTCTCTCTGTGTGTGTGTGTGTTTCTTTCTGGCGAGTGCACACACCCTATGACAAAAACCTTAAAAAGAAAACCCTGCAGTTTGACAATGTATGGACGCCAGAGTTGTTCCTTATCTCTTCACTACTGGGAAAAATCTCTTGCTTTTAAAAGTGATAAATTTGGTGCTAGAAAAAATAAAACAAAAAAGCTTCAAATATAAGTGGGCCCATGCAGTTCAAACCTGTGTTGTTCAACAGTGAACTGTATATGTAATTATTACATATTCTATATCTATATCTCAATAGAATGAGTATGTACATCCTTCCAAAGTAGGTACTTCCTTCATGACACCTGACATACATATATGTGTAATATTTATATTTATGTATCTGTTTCCGTATTTACTCTATCAATTTAAAATAAGGATTAATCATAAATACTTGTAGGCCTAAATTCTAGTCCTGCCAAGACTGAGTCCTGCTATCAGCTAACTATATAAGCTTCTTTTTTAAGGTTTATGTCCTAGAGCACATGCACTCACCAAAGAGAGACAGAGCAAAAATAAAAAATCGCCCTCTGGGGGTATGGCCATGTCTCAATCCCTTCTCCATTCTCCTCCCAAGATTTTGAGCATGCACACACATGTGCTGGGCATGATGTTCAAGTCACTGAGTGGACTTGAACTGTGGTTGGCCACGTGGGAGTCCAGTGCCTTCACCACCATGCCACCTGCCAGCCCTAACAACTAATATATAATCTTAAATACTGTATTTCACCTGTAAGCTCCCAGTTTTTTCTCTTTTGAAAAATAAGAAACCTGAACAACAGATCCTTTTAACTTGAAAATTCTAATAATTAATTTGAGAGTACCGGATCAGAGCTGACCATCAGCTGGAGCCATAGCAGTAGGAGAGGAGCCAGAAAGGGCAGCCAAGAGCATAGGGACTTAGGAGTACTGCCCATTGGACTCACAGACCAGAAGTCAAGTCAAGGATGGGTACCTCCAGGACCACACAAAAGTCTGCAGGAACCATCCCTGAAAGTCGGGAAAAGGGCAGAGAGGAACCTAGCACTGAAGAATCTTCCACCCATATACCACCATTCCCCTGGGAGCCAACTCAGTCTGAGAAAGGAAAAGGTAACCTGGAATCAAGACTGAAGTTTGGGTGGCCAGCAGGTGGCATCGTGGCTTGGACTTTCACATGACTGACTACAGCTCAAGTCCCGGACCTGGTGGCTTGAAAATCATGCCAGGCGTGTGTGTGTGTGTGTGTGTCCAAAATCCAGAGGGGAGAATGATAGAAAAGGGACTGCAATGTAGCCATCCCCCTAGGGTGTGATTTCTCATTTACTTTCACTTTCTCTCTCTCTCTGTGTGTGTGTGTGTTTCTTTCTGGCGAGTGCACACACCCTATGACAAAAACCTTAAAAAGAAAACCCTGCAGTTTGACAATGTATGGACGCCAGAGTTGTTCCTTATCTCTTCACTACTGGGAAAAATCTCTTGCTTTTAAAAGTGATAAATTTGGTGCTAGAAAAAATAAAACAAAAAAGCTTCAAATATAAGTGGGCCCATGCAGTTCAAACCTGTGTTGTTCAACAGTGAACTGTATATGTAATTATTACATATTCTATATCTATATCTCAATAGAATGAGTATGTACATCCTTCCAAAGTAGGTACTTCCTTCATGACACCTGACATACATATATGTGTAATATTTATATTTATGTATCTGTTTCCGTATTTACTCTATCAATTTAAAATAAGGATTAATCATAAATACTTGTAGGCCTAAATTCTAGTCCTGCCAAGACTGAGTCCTGCTATCAGCTAACTATATAAGCTTCTTTTTTAAGGTTTATGTCCTAGAGCACATGCACTCACCAAAGAGAGACAGAGCAAAAATAAAAAATCGCCCTCTGGGGGTATGGCCATGTCTCAATCCCTTCTCCATTCTCCTCCCAAGATTTTGAGCATGCACACACATGTGCTGGGCATGATGTTCAAGTCACTGAGTGGACTTGAACTGTGGTTGGCCACGTGGGAGTCCAGTGCCTTCACCACCATGCCACCTGCCAGCCCTAACAACTAATATATAATCTTAAATACTGTATTTCACCTGTAAGCTCCCAGTTTTTTCTCTTTTGAAAAATAAGAAACCTGAACAACAGATCCTTTTAACTTGAAAATTCTAATAATTAATTTGAGAAGTGTAAGAAGTAAACATTATTTGAGATTTTTATTAACAGTGTGTGTAAAATATATTAGCAAGTGGAAATTCTGGAAAAGGGCATCGGCTTCAGAAAAAAAATAAAAGTACTTAAAATCTGATTTTATATAGTCATATGTACACATACTTTTGTGACAGTGATGAAATCCGGTCCAAAAAAGACGCTTTTTACACCTTCGATCCTAAATAACTGTCTGTGAATAAAGGAAAAATAAGAAATAATAAAATGTTTTAGCACAGACAAATTTAAACATACATAAAGGTAGAGAGAAAAGTAAAAGCACCTTTATATATCCACATATTAAGCTTTAAAAATTATCAACTCATGGCCAATTTTGTTTTCTTTTCTTACTATAATCTAGCAATTGCACTGTTAGGCATTTGCTCAAAAGAAATTAAAGTGTCTCACAAAGATTTGTACATGAATCATTTTTTTTCTCTTAAGTTTGCTATAGGACACATAAGTATGGTATAGGATGCTCACCAGAGAGAGAGAGAGAGAAAGCAAAGTGAGAAATTAGCCCCCAATGGGGACAGCCACCTCACAATCCCTTCTCCATTCTCCTCTTGGGATTTTGGGCACACATGCATGTGTACCAGTGTGTTTTTCAAGCCACAGGTCCTTGACTCAAACCACTCGGTTGATCATGTGGAATCCAACCACCTTAACCTCTGTGCCACCTGCTGGCCCTGTGCATGAATCTTTACAGCAATTTTATTTGTTACAACCACACACACAAAATCTGGAAATTTCCTCAATCAACTGGTGAATGAATAGACTGCAATAAAACCATTCAATGTAGCATTACTTAACAAAAAAGAGAAATGACCTATTGATACACACAAAAATATGGACAACTCTGAAAAGCCTTCCTGAAATAAGATACAGCTTATTTATTCATTCAATCAATTACACATTCATTCAACAAATTTTTGGACACTTAGCTAGTGAAAGAAACTATACTAAGCACTAAAGATACAATGACAAGCAAGACAGATGGTCTCTGTCCTCAGGAAGCTTACATTCTAGTTTACAGCAAAAACATTCCCTACTGGGCCAGCCAGTGACACAGTAGTTGAGGTGGTTAGATCCCACATGCTGACTGTACAGTTCCAGTTCCACACCCAGCAGCATGAAAAACATACCAGCCATGTGTACACGTGTACCCAAAACTCTGAGAAAAGTTAACTGCAGCATGGCCATCTCCCTTGGGGTGGAGGGTGCTTTCATTCTCTCTCTCATGAGTACACACACCCTACAGCAAAAAAACAGATTTAAGAGTAACTACCTATCAAAACAACAAATAAAAACAAAATTTATTTTGCTTGACTGAAAACAATAAATTCTGTGAATTCAAAAAAAAGGCTCTTCTGAAAATATAATTTGAAAAGAGCTTTTTGCCAACTGAACACCTGATAAAAATCATCTCCAACTAATGTATAACTGAAATGAAGGCTTTTTAAAAAATATAAAACATGAATTTTTTTCTTGAGGTAAACATTTCAAACAATACATATAAAGTTAAAATGCCCTCTGACCATCTCTCCGGAATCCTGTTACCAGTTTGATGGGCATTCTTCGAGACCTTTATGTCAGTGCATTTATTGTGTGTGTGTGTTCTAAATGACTGAGTGACAGAGACAGGCAGAGCAGTCCTTTTCAAGTTTATCTATGTATGGGGCCAGCAGGAGGCCTGATGGTTAAGGCTGACCACAGAGCTGACTCTGGGATTCAAGTCCCAGACCTCGCAAGTTGAAAATCACTCCGAGCCTGTGTGCATGTTACCCAAATTCCTGAGAAGAGAATGGAGATGTGGTGTGGCCATTCCTCCTGAGGGGACTTCTCATTTTCCCTCTCTGTCTCTCTCCTTCAAGCACATGTGCCCTGTAGCAAAAACCTAAAAAAAAAAAAAAAAAAAAGGGCATGAAAACAAATGTTCTAAGGTATATTCTCAGAAGTTACATGTTTAAGTTAAAGGAAATGTCCATATTTATTAATTGGAAATACAAAAGTTCTTCCTGAACTTAGCATATCTTTGGCTCCCTTAAATGAGATATATTAAATGGCTAGATAAAGAAACAGTTATTTAAGCTTGATTTCCCAAACATTTCTAGCAATCTGTACTGAACCTAGATTATCAGTGGTTTCAACTGATATTAACTCTAATATTATTGTATCATCATATTTATCATATTTGTGCTTTATTATCTCTGACATACATTTAAAAAATGTCTTTACGAAGTGAATTTAAAAACTGTCTTCACAGGCAAGTTTAATTTTAATTTTAATTTATTTATTTTTGTTACAGGGCACATGTACTTGCTGGAGAGAAACGAAGAAAGAGAAAATGAGAAATCCACCCCCCAGAGGGATAGCCACACTGCAATCCCTTCTCTTCCATCCTATTTTCAGGATTTGGGGCACACATCCACACACACCCTCAGTGATTTTCAAGACGCTGGGTCTGAGACTCAAACCACACAACTAGCCAAGTGGGATCCAGCTGCCTTAACCTCTACCACGTTATATTTATGATAAAGTTTTTGTTTTTGTTTTTAATTTGCTAGAGGGCATATGTGCTCACACAGGAAAAAGACACATAAAGAGAGAAAGTAAGAAAGTACTTCCTATGGGGAATGGTCATGCTATAATCTCTTCTCTTCCATTTTTCCCTCCTTTTGGGATTTTGCAGATGCACACACATGCACGCTGACATGTTTTTCCAGCTATCAGGGCTTTCATGTTGGTCATGTGGGATCCAGCCATCTTAACCAGATGGCCCCAACTTTATTTATTCATTCATTCTATGAGTGAAAGACAGAGACATAGCACCCCCAGGGGTGCTGCCACAATCTCTCTCCAGGCCCACACAGCTGAGACTCCAGGCACATGTGCACTTGGTGTACCCAGGGAAGTCTCTGGATGTGAACCAGCAATCTTCCCATGTGGGCCTGCCTTGCAGAATCTTGCATTTTAATGCTATGTCACCATTTGACTCCTGACCAGTTTTCAGAAATCATGGAATATCTGATAGCTATGATCATTTATTGTTCTGAGTGGAATATTTTAGCTACTATCTTGAAATATCTAAAAATTCAGCTATCCTTATGAATAAAATAAGTGAATTTTCATTTTTCTTAAAAATCAGTTTTAATGATTAAGAATGAAAATTCAACATAATTAACCATTGTTTTTTTTCTTAAGTAAAGATACACATTTTTATTCATTCCTAATACAGATTTCTCAAATACATTACTCTTTAGGAAAAAGATTTTCTTATATCAACTCTTATACATTATCCCTCATTTTAAAAAAATTCTCCATACTGGGGACCAGCAGATGACGTAATGGTTATGTTGCAGGACTCCCATTTAGTCAACTGCAGTTTGAGTACTGGAACTGGTAGCTTAAAACTCATGCCAGGCATGTGTGTATGAGTGCCCAAAATCCCAAAAGGAGAATGGAGGAGAAGGGATTGCGGCGTGGCCATCCCCCCCAGGGAGGGCGGTGATTTCTTGCTTTCTGTCTGTCTCTCTCATGCACACACATCCCCTATAGCAAAAATCTCTCTCTAAAAAAATTTTCCATATTGGGAAAAAAACACGGTGTACATAAAAATGCTATTATTATTATTATGCCAAATGCTATTACTAAATTAATTTCACCATTTTAAAATTTGTCATAGGGTACATACACTCACCAGAGAGAGACAGAGAGAATGAGAGAGAGAGAGTGAGAAAGCAAGCTGCCAGGCCCAAGAGTCAAACCACAGTCGGCCATGTGGGAGTCCAGTGCCCCAACATCATGCTGACTGATGGTCCCTGTAATAACTATTATAACCCTAGAGTCAATTAGTTATGTTTCTTGGTAAAAGCAAATTAAAGCGGTAATATACCTAGCCAGAGGGGAGCGGAATGCTGCAGCTGCTGTGGGAAAATCCATGGTCCTCGTCTCAAGAACAGGCTTTCCTGGTATAAACTTTAAACTGTTGGGATTTGGAGTATCTTGTGTTTGAATAAACATGTATCTCACTGAAAAGGAAAAGGAAGAAAGAATGTTATTTTAGAAAAATAGTAATTCAGTTTATGGACTAAGAAGTGCTTATTTTCAGAGAAACAGAAGAAATTAGAAAAAGTAAAAAAGAAAACAAGGCTTTATTGCTCAAGTTGACAAAAAAGAGTTTATAAAGATAAGAAATAGATCAGCATAACTAGGATACCTGCATAGAATTTCACATTAATACTCCAGGGTTCAAGATAAACAATTTCCTAGAGCAAATTCTTTTTTTAACTGCCAGAGGACATGTGTGCTCACTAGAGAGAGACTAGGGTGAGGAGGGGCCGTGGGGAGAAAGCACTCCCCCAATGGGGCTTGGTCATGGCGTAATCCCTCCTCCTCCATTTCTCTACCCTGTCAAGATCTGGGGTGCACATATACCCTTCAAGTCTTTAAAATGCTGCCTCTCAATCTGCAGTCAGCCTTGTGGGATCTGGCTCCTTTAATCAATAGGCTACGGGGCCATCCTAGTGCTGACTCTGTTAACCCCTGTACATGTTACCATTCCTCATCTATTAGTGTTAAGCAGAAATGAAAAATAAATTTAAGATTAGTCTTCCAGGGGACCAGCAGATGGCAAAGCGGTTACGTCACTGGACTCCCACATGGCCGACTGTGGTTCCGGTCCCAGACCCAGTGGCTTGAAAATCACACCAGGCACATGTGTGTGTGTGCCCAAGATCCCAGGAGGAAAATGAAGAAGGGACTGCGGCATGGCTATCCTCCCTGGGGGTGATTTCTCACTTTCTCCCTCACTGTGACTGTCTCTTTCTCCAGTGAGCACAAGTGCCCTAAGGCAAAAATCTCTCTCTAAAAAAAATAACAAATTAGTCTCGGAACTATGTCACAGTCTAAACAGCATATTGTACAAGTGATAATAAAATATTAAAAAGCAAGCCAGTCCCACAGCTTAACAGCTATGGAGCCAGATCCCACATAGTCAACAGCTATTGGAATCCCTGCTAACTGATGTTGAATCATTTCTTGGGTGAAACAAAAATTGACATTCAGGGCTAGCCTGTGGTGTGGTGGTTTAAGTCGGCTAGATTCTACATGGCCGACTATGTGGTTTGAGTCCTAGATACTGGTGGCTTGAGAAATGTACCAGGCACAACTGTGTGCATGCCCAAAATATTGAAAGGAGAGAGAAGTTAAAGAGAAGGGACTGCAGTGTGACTATGTCCCACTGGAGATAGTGTGTGTGTGTGTGGGGGGGTTGCTCTCTCTCTCTCTGTTTCTCTATGTTGAACACGCATACCTTCTGACAGAAAAAAAAAAGGGAACTCATACATTTTCTTAAGCCATGTCCTTATTAGCTATCATTTGGTGACTTGGTGACCAGGCAAATCCTAAAATAAGAACTGAAGAAAAAGATGATGTCTAAGCACTTCACTTAAAATACGTCCACAGACTCAACTGAGGTGATACAGGTTGTGGTGCACTGCTATGCAATGCTAGAGCCCAAGGTTCAGCTTCCAGGTCAACCTGAACTTGCCAGGAATAATCCTAGCTGTCTGGAAGGCTTGGGGATGGATCACAGCACAGCAAGAGCCTGTATGTGGGGATGAAGGTCCCTGTCTCTGTCTCATGAAAGAAATAAACTTTTTTTTTTTTGGCCATAGGGCATGTGCCCTTGCCAGAAAGACGAAAGAAGGAAACTGAAAAAGCACCCTGGATGGCTACACCACAATCCCATCCCCTCCGTTCTCTTCCTAGGATTTCAAACATGCACGCACACGCCCAACTTTTTTTTTTTGTAGATATTTTTGCTTTATGGGGGGTCACCAGGTGGCATGGTGGTTAGGGGCACTGGACCCCCAACCAGTGGCTAACTATGGTTTGAGTCCCAGACCTGATGTCTTGCTTTCTCACTTTCTCTCTCCTCACCCCACCCCTGGTCAAATGAAAATAATTAATTAAATAAATAAAGTTAAATAAAATAATTCTTTTTAAGGAAAAAAAGAAATTTTTGCCTTATGGCACATGCACTCACCAGAGAGAGACAGACAGTGAGAGGGAAAGTGAGAAATTACCCCTCCAGGGGGGTTGCCCATGCAATCCCTTCTCCTCCATTCTCCTCCTTGAATCTTGGGCACGCATGCACACGCACTCTGCGTAATTTTCAGGCCACCAAGAGACTCATACCACAGTCAGTCGTGTGGGAGTCCAGCAATATAATCACTATGCCATCTGTTGGCCTCCATCTGCAACTTTTTAAAAAAATCTTTAAAAAGGAGATGTAAACCTCTAATCAAGACATACCTTTGAATCCTAACACCTACATTCAGCATCTTAACCACAGAAAGTATTTCATACACACACACATGCACACACACCTTCCCTAAGCTTTCCCAACTATAGCACTGACCACATTTCAAGTTTTCAAATCCTACCTTCCTATCTATTTCTAATATTAAATAAAATCAATGTAACATCAACAAGAATGTAACATCAAGATTGTCAATAAAGTCAGTGATTAATTTTGATCAGAAAAAGGAAACCTACATTTTAAACCCTGGGTTCTAAACTCTGGCTGAAAGTGAGAAATTTACTGACTTTAGAAGTATTCTTCTAAAAATAAGAAAAAACAGTACCTTAAAATATGTATACGTCTTCAAAACACAAATCCATTTGTAACTTATTTTCATTTCAGAAACCATTTACTGAGCAACACTTATATTCCAGGGATATTCCGAGATTTCAGATTTTTGAACAATAACCTTACAAATAATTAGTTAAATGTGGTGTTACAATAGAAAAAAAAATGCTATATTCTTTGTAAAGGCTTCTGAATAGAAAATTTACAAATTCTCATCTTTTATCAACAGGAAAGCGTAACACAGTTCCATTAGTTCCTGAAGCACTATTTTCTCTGAATGAGGTGAAATTTTACCTGTGTTACATAAGGCTGCAGGTAGTGGGAAAAGTGGTCTTCGCACAAATTGATGCAGAGTCTGTTTCTTAATCATGTATGAATTCATCATCATATGACAGAATCTGCATTTAAAAACAAGTAACATGACATTTGAAGCACTCTAGTCTATTAGTTTCTACTTCTCATGTATTAAAAAATGTAAAATTTAAACATAACCAGCAATAAAAAGTTTTTCATTTTTCATTTATACTATTTCCACTTACTTAGGCAAGTGATATCTATACAAACAATTAAAAAATCAAATGGAGGGACCAGCAGTTAGCGTAATGGCTATGTCGCTGGACTCCCACCTAGTCGACCACGGTTCGCATCCTGGACCCGGTGGCTTAAAACTCACGCCGGGCACGTGTGTGTGTGTGCCCAGGATCCTGAGAAGAGAATGGAGGAGAAGGGATTGCGGCGTGGTCATCCCCCCTGGGGGGTGATTTCTCGCTTTCTGTCTCTCTGTCTCTGTCTGTCTGTCTGGCGAGCGCACATGCCCTATAGCAAAAACCTCTCAAAATAAATAAATAAATAAATAAAAACCAAATGGTAATTCATAGCCTTGATAATGAGGTATATACAAGATAGTGTAATGTCCAAACTAAGAGTCTGAGACTTCAGATTATAAATCACTAAGGTAGATACATTTCTGTTTCTTATATGCACAAAGGAGGCAGACCAATATAAGCTTTTATTTCTTCTTTAAAAAATTTAAAATAGGTTAATAGTCACATGATTCAAAATTGATAAAAGAGAAGTGTATACAGTGAAGTTTCCCTTCTTTTCTGTCCTCCACCACATTTACCTCTAACCTATATTGTCTGTTTTAAAAAGGATTTTAATACTTCAACAAGCTTAATAGAAAGTGTACTACTGGGGGCCAGCAGGTGGTATAGAGGTTAAGATGACTGAGTGGTTTGAGTCCCAGACAGGTACACATCATTGTTGGTCACATGTGTGTATGTGCTCAATATCCCAAGAAGAGACTAGAGAGGAGAATACAGTGTGGTCATTCCCTCCAGAGGGTGATTTCTCACTCCATCTTTTTCTCTCTCAGATGAGACCATGAGCTGTATAGCAAAACTAAAAAGAAACTGTACTTCTATTGTCCTCCCAATTGCTAAAGGAGGCAACAATTTTATATACTTATTTTTTAAAGAAATTTTATGTATTTATTTATTTATTTATTTATTTATTTATTGCCATAATCACTACCATTCACCAGAGACAGAGAGAAGGAAAGTGAGAAATCACTTCCCAGGGGAATGACCACACTGCAATCCCTCCTCTTCCACTCTCCTTTTGGGATTTTGGGCACACATGCACATGTGCATGCACCTAGTATGATTTTCAATTTTCCAGGTCCAGGACTTGAACTGTGGTTGGCTATGAGGAAGTCCAGCACCTTAACCATCACACCACCTGCTGGCCTGAAGCTCTGTATTTATTTTTGAAGAATTATTTAATTTTATTATCATTATTATTTTCCAATTTGCCATAGGAAACGTGCAATAACCAGAGAGACAAAGTGAGAAAACAAGTCACCAGGTCCAGGATTCAAACTGCAGTCAGCCGTATGGGAGTAAAATGCCTCAATCACCACAGTATTCACCAGCCCCAAATTATTTATTTATTTACTTATTTATTTCAGAGTTACTATATTTAACTTTATTTATTTATTTATTTTAAAATTTGACCAGAGAGGGACAGAGGGAGAGAGAAGAGAGGAGAGAGAAATAGAATGAGTGAGAAAGTGAGAAGCAAGCCGCTGGGTCCAAGACTCAAACCAGGTTGGCCATGTGGAGTCCAACACCCTTAACCACCATACCACCTGCCGGCCCTTTATTTATTTTAACAGAGATTTTTGCTATAGCGTGCATGTGCTTGCCAGGGAAATAAAGAGAAAGCAAGAAATCACCCCCTCCCGCCCACAGGGGATAGCCACGCTGCAATCCCTTCTCCTCCGTTCTCTTCTCAGGATTCTAGGCTCATGCGTACATGCTCAGCCTGAGTTTTAAGTCACTGGGTCTGGGACTCAAACTGCTGTCAACTATGTGGAAGTCCAGCAATGTAACCATTACACTATCTGCTGGTCTCAATACTTTATTTTTTTAAAGCTTATTTATTTTGAGAAGAGAGACCAAATAGCCTTGACCAGGTCTCACTACACTGCAACTAACTCACCATCCATCTCCCTCAAGCTTCAGCCAGCCAGGATCATGAGCATGACGTGGGCATTAATGATACGTTCAGGACAACCACGAATTCAAACCTAGGGCCTCTCACATGGACCCAGTATTGCACAGCAGCAGCCCACCATGGGCACCATCCTGGCCAAGGCTATCTTTGTATGCTTTTTGACTAGATACACATTAACTCAGTATTGTAACTTTATCTAACTCTGATAGAAGAGTTCATTGGCTATTTTTGATGAGTTAAAAACAAATGGAAAAAGGAAATAAAAAGAAACCTTAACAGTGAAAAGTGTTAGAATCCTAGAGCAAGCTATTTTAAAATTCAGTTTAAAGAATGATTACTATCCATTACAACTGTTATTTTTTTCACAGGCTCCACTGAAGAATTTTAGGCGTGTAAGTCACTTTCGTAATCATACACGATTACTGTATCTAAAAAATACTTCTCTGAATGTTTTTCCAACTGAAAGAGGCAGGAAATGACAGACGGGACTGTACAGATTTTTTATGAAATTGGAATTCTGTGGGTCACAAAGAGTGAGCACCAATTAAGCGAATGCAAATTACCTAAAAATTTCCCTGCTTTTGATAATCCTTAAATCCTTTTTATAAGCAAAAACTACCTAACTGGAACACTGTGAGACTGTAACCCCTAGAGTTCCTTAAATCCCATGGGAAATTAAAGGACTGGTACTGCAGATTCAGGAAAACAGCAAAATAAGCATTAGCACCATCATGGAAATGATGAACGAGGAATCAAGGCAGCCTTGGCTGCCTCTAACCACACTACGCTGGAGTGGATCACAGTAAGATCTGCTACCTTGTTAAATTACATGACTTTATTACAACACTCGTAATTTTATTATTTGCCAGTAGGTCTTATTATACTGCAAATTTATCAGGATATTGTTGTCATTTCTATGTCCCCAGCAGCTAGCTGGGCCTCAATTTCTCATGTCTAAGATTTACAGCTACCTCCAAAGACTGAGATGATAGATCCAAATAATCTATGTAAGTTAAAATGTTTAAGCCAGTTCCAGATCATGTAGTTAAGTACTCAATAAATGGCAGCTACCAACATGATGATGATGATGTGATAGGGACCCAATAATTACTTATTGATGAAGGTTTAAGGTTTACCTATAGCTCACTTTCTAAATCTGTAAATACTCTGGAATCTGTAAATACAACGGAAAACTTGTATTCTTGTACCTTCAGCTGAAGGATAAGGCAGCAGAGTCGATAAATAAGACACACAGGGTGAGCTGGCTGTGCGGCCTCGTGGTAAGGCACTGCTCAAGAAAAGCTGGAGCCCACATGCTACCAAACACGCTGGCAGGCGGGCAAGCATCTCTGAACCGCGAGGCCGAGAGGAGGGAAATCCACATGACCAGATGCTGTGCCGATCCTCCTCTTTGATAAGTTCACAATACGTGCATGTGCTCTACCATGAATAAAGGGGAAAAAAATCTTTAAAAAATACACATAAAGTTTTTTGGTTTAAGAAAAAATTTTTGTTATAGGACACAGGCGCTCACTGGAGACAGAACGTAAGAAACCACCCTCCAGGGAGGATGGCCACACCACAATCCCTTCTTCCCATTCTCCTCTCCAGATTTTGGACACGCGCCGACCCTGAGTTTTAAGGACCCCTACCGGGACTCCTAGGGTAGACTACCTGGGAGTCCAGGGAAGTAACCATTACGCCATCTGCTGGCCCCAGGGTTCAAGTTTGTTTTTGTTTTTTTTTTTAAAGAGTGAATTACATAGTTCAAGAACATCCTATGAAGGGGACACACGGGGTGACCAAAGTCATTCTGCAAACAGTACTTTTGGGAAAGGCATTTAAACTTCAAAAGCATCATTAACACTAAATGTTGGGTCCAACACCTATGTAGGTCCTCTAACCAATGCTGACAGGTGTCTGGTAGCTAGAACTCAAAGGCGGGGCTCAGGAAGGGGGAAAACGAGGGGACAGAGGGGGCTTAAGTAGTGACGGCGGGCGGCTACGGAGAGGTCTGGGTTCTCCGGGAAGTTCTATCACGTATCAACTGTGTGACCCGGACACGCTACGTCCCCTTCCTGCGCCTCACTGGCAAAACGAGAAAATGAGACAAGGTATTTTCTTCCCTTCTCAGTGACACGCTGACTTTGTGTTTAAAAACAGACGAGGGGGATGCACACGGTGGAAACGCCGGGGGCCGACACAGGCTGTCTTTACAGCCGGTCTCTGCGAGCCTCCACCGCAGGACTGGGGCGCCGGGTCCCAGCGCCTGGTACGAGGCTCCGCAGGTCGCCCGACTGCCTCCCCTAGAGCCGCGCGCGGCGGCGGCGACGAGCGGACCAAGGGCGCCACCGATGCACTACCCTCCCCCCGAGAGAGAGACGGA